TGCACACAAAAGCAGATCAACCCATTAGCTATTCAAACTCGGAGATTCAGAGCTCTAATTCTGCCAAAATTCACATTGAAGCTGAATCTGCAGCCAAGGGGATATTAGGATCTATCTGATACTACAGAATCAGCTAAGCTGTGAATTGTCGGGAATTCTCCAGGATGTTTCAGGTAATAGTCCATTTAGAACCTCCAACTCATAGTTCCAGTTGGCCTCTTTTTGGCTGAGTTTGAAAATAGCTGATGAAATCCCGAAAATTTGTAGTTTAGCGAATAACCCGGTTGGATTTAGTTACTAGTGAGTGAAGGAGCATTGCTAGCCAAATTGCAAATAAAGGTGAGTGGGAATTTTTCTTCAAAATCTGCTATTTCAGTCTAAAAGTTTTATTTTCAGTTCACTACAAATGGCCGTTCAGTTAATGTTCCCAAGAGAATATCTCTAGATCACCGGTGGATAAAGAGTTTTAGCTCTTCTGTAACCTTGTTTTGTATAGGGGTAAATAAACTGTTAGCTATAAAGGAGATAACGGAATAATTGAGACTAAACAATTAGTGATTTAATGTAAATGTCGCCTCTTACAAACTCTCTTTTGATCCCTGCTGAGTCCCTCATTGATTACCATCCATTCTGATTGAACTCTGTATGCCCTAATTGGCACACAAGGTTCGACTAAACAGTCACTTGTCGAGAATGTTATTGTGAATTTCAAATTTAAGGCCCAAAATAGGGCATAATGTGTCTCTTGGGCACATGTAGAAAAAAGTTATTTAAAAATAATTCCTTTTTGTACCATTGCTTTAAAAAATAAAAATAATTTTGTGTCACTTTCTGTGTTGTTTGAGAGCTTTGTCACTCTTAATATATATAAAAAGGATAAGAAGGAGGTTATATATTCCTGATAAGATTTAACAACTCTACCGTGGGGCGAGCTCTCCATGACAGTCCTAAATCTACAAGGGGGAGAGAATCGGGTTTATACATAGGAAGATGGCGCATGCACAGTGTAGTTCAGTTGTAAACTACAAATCCCATGATGCTTCAGTTTGCCTTTTGGCCATCAGTGATGTAAATAAATACCGGGGACATTAAGCAATGAGAGAGATAAAGATCTAGCTGTGAGATAATGAGCCAGCTGTCTGATAGGCATCTTTCCCTAATTGTAAGACCTGAGAGGGCCCTGGGTTATCATCAGACTCCGACCTGGAGCTATCTAACAGCAGCTGGAGATAGAATAGACTCATTGCAGAAAACAATGGGTTTATATTATCCACCCCGCTCCCCTGACTATTATTGAGTGCATGCATTGTATTTATTTATATGACAATATATACACAATTCTTATACAATGCCCCTATCCAGAGTGCTTTACATAGCATAACAGCCTTACAATAATCATTCAACAGAAGAAAAACTACCACAACAAGAGGACATAGTCTTAAATTAGAGGGGCAAAGGTTTAAAAATAATATCAGGAAGTATTACTTTACTGAGAGGGTAGTGAATCCATGGAATAGCCTTCCAGCTGAAGTGGTAGAGGTTAACACAGTAAAGGAGTTTAAGCATGCGTGGGATAGGCATAAGGCTATCCTAACTATAAGATAAGGCCTGGGACTAATGAAAGTATTTAGAAAATTGGGCAGACTAGATGGGCCGAATGGTTCTTATTTGCTGTCACATTCTATGTTTCTATGAGGACCCTGCTCAAACAAGTTTAGATTAACTTTACTAACACAGTACATTTTTAGTTACTTGGCATAGATATATTTTTATGAACATGATATATGTATATATAGCTTTATTAACTAACACACACACACACACACAACACACACACACACACACGACTAATCTGAATAATTTGCTAAGAAACAATTAATCTTAACCCCACATGTACATATATATTAGCACATACATCTAATCTGAAATACTAACACACACAGGAGATAGCTATACATGTATTATAATGACATGAGATTAGCGTAGGAGGGTACACTCTGTATGTTTAAACTTGTTCTTTGACATTCTAGAATGGGGACAGCGCTCATCTATAAACAGTGATTCTGTTCCCAGTTGTCCAAGGGGACACGCCGTACTCTGCCACCGAGGTGTTAATGACTCCTGGGAGGTCTCTGTGAAGTGACAGCCATCCTGTAACAGCATCTGTCTAAGTGTCTGTTAGCAGTAAGGTGTTAATGGCAATTAATCAAGAGGAACACAAACACACACTAAGGTGCAACTAATCTGAAACACATGCTAGCATACAGACACAAACACGGACACACGACATGTCTAATCTGAAATACTTTGTAACACACTTAATCTTAACTGTACATATATAGAAAAATACATACATATATTCTGAAACACATGCTAACACACACAAATCTAATTTAAAACACATGCATACTCCCTGCCATGTATATTCTTACACGGTCTCTCTCACACATGCCTCTAATCTCATATCTATTCTTAAACATACATGCACACACATCTAATCACACGCAGTAACACACAGCCCGTTTTACTGTGCCAGTTGTTCTCTATAAAATATACACTGGCACGTTCAGGCACACTGGCAAGAACTCAACAAGGAAAAGCCAAATGTCGAGTCACACAAACTATGAGAATCCCCCACTCCTGCAGGATGCTTCTAATGTTCTGTGCATCCCCCCCAAAGCATTGCTATTTACAGGGGTCCCGCGTCAGTGTCATACCCTCTAATAATATTTCTGCTCCTGTATGACTGCCAGAATACCCCGTCCCCGTGCCCAGATGTGGCATGCCTACGTATATTGATACAATGTGGCTGAATGCGTGCTATCTTATTCTATCAGTGACCTACATCCAATGGTGCAATGCCCACCTTTACCTGCATTGTGCCCTCCCCACAGCACCGCCCTCCCTGCCTGCCCACGGCCTGCTTCATGTCTGCAGCAGGTGCTGTTTTGGACAATCAGAGCATTGTCTGTGGCCGACCTAGCACTGGCTCCAGATATAATCACAGGAGAGGGAGGGGAGGCTGTTATACAAATTAACCAGACATGTAACGCAGTATCAGAGTGTTACAGTAACCCAACAGAAACTGTGCACGCCTGGCCTGACATGGCAAAACCAATCTGTGGAGCAATCAGCATGAACATTCCATTGGTTTCCATGGTAACAGCTCCACTTCCAGTACTTTGCCCCAAAACTGCTCCTTATACACAGGATCCATTACACATTAGCTGATTGGATATAAGGAAATATTTTAGTCTTTTTCTGAAATGATTTGCGTAAAAGAATTCTGAACGTTGTAATTAAGAACAAATTGCAGAATCTTTGACTTCTCCTAATTAGGCCCTTAACGTTATTCAGCTCATCAAATCTAGAAAGAGAAAAAAAATTAATCATACACGCTGTGCCTGAATAAAACCTCTTCTCCATTCATTATGTTAACAGAGTGCCTTTCTGTATATTAATTTAGAGATATTGGACATCCATTCATCATCATTAGTTGGTCTCTACAGAATGGAATGTCCTACTCATTTAGCGTTAGTTGGGCTCTACAGAATGGAATGTCCTACTCATTCAGCGTTAGCCAGGCTCTATATAACGGAATGTCCTACTCATTTAGTGTTAGCCGTGCTCTACAGAATGGAATCTCCTACTGGTTTAGAGTTAGCCTTGCCCCATGGAATGGAATGTGTAACGGATCACCTGGCACCCTGAATGGGTACCTCCGTTGATGGAGGCTCCTAGTGCTTCCCGAGGGCTCCAAGCACTCCACTTGACACCATAAGCACTGCAGACCCCACAAACCGCCGCAGCTTGGTTGGGGTCTCGCTGTCTCCTACCCACACTGGACCTACAACAAGGCTCCAGGCTCCAGTGGGTGAACCTCTCTTCCTTCAGAGAGCGAAGCAGGAACAAGCTCTTAAAAGAGCTTAGTGATTATACCCAGGGAAGTATACAGCATATAGCAATCCCCAGTGTAGATGCAGCCTTTCCCCCCCACACATGAGACAAGGCTCTATGTTGAGGGTAAAACAGGAACTCAGCAGTCTGAGGGTTTTTTTGGCATTTATATACAAGTTTTCCCACAAGGTTACCACCCACGTGGACCTTGTGGGATACAGGGCAAAAAGTAAAAACCATGTAAAAACCAATCAGGACAGGCGGCGGAGCCTAACCTTCAATGGAGTAAGACGTGTGCTCTCTCAGCTATCTCACACCGGGCATACAATCAGCATCCATCAGCCTCCACAAAGGTGCACCTCACCCTCAAAAACGACCACAGACTCACAGCAACCCCACCACTACTTAATCAGATGGGTGGAACAAAAAAAAGAAAAGAATCCACGCCGTCAGTGGCCACGATGTTCCGCGCCAAAGATGACAGGCAGACATCCTGGGCCCAAAATCAGGCGGACACAGGCTGAGACTCGGATGAGAGCGACCGAGAAACTACCCAAACATCACCTCTTACCAAAGAGGATCTCCGGAAAATGCTCAAAGAAACATCTGCAGACATTAAGGCCTACACCACAGCCGCACTAGAAAAACAAATAGCGGGCCTTAAGGAAGATATAGAAGCACTGGCCTCCTGCACAGGCACCACAGAACGCCTAATAAAAGAAACCCAAATTCAAACAGCAAACCATGGCAAAGAAGTGGAAAAGCTGAAAGACAAGGTACAATTCCAAAAGATGGCCTAGAGGACTTAAACAATAGATCACTCAGGCAAAATATTCGCATACGGGGCCTACCAGAAACAGTCCTACCAGACGCCATACTGCCAACTATCACAGCGGTGTTCCAATCCCTATTACCTGACACCCCAGAGCAGGAAATATACATAGAACGAGCGCACCGAGCGCTGAGACCACCGACTTTCAACCCCAACATTCCGAGGGATATAATTACAAAACTCCTACATTTCCCAGTGAAGGAAAAATTGATGAAAGTGGCTAGAGACCATCTGCCCATGTACCAAGGGCAACAGCTACACTTCTATCAAGATCTGGCTCCATCAACATTGAGAAAACATTGAGAGCTCAAAACCCTCACCACCGCATCGAAACCAGGTGGCGCTACATGTTGGGGCACCCCTTCAAACTAACAGTGAAAAAGGGAGAACAAACCTTCACCCTCCACCAGGTCACGGACATGCAAGATTTCGCAGCACACCTGGGAATCCCATTATGGTATCCACCGGATGATTCCAACCGCACCACACCCAGAGACAGCAGCCGTAAAGGAGTACCCCGCTCCAGCACGACCCGCATGCAGCCTAAGAGGAAATCCCCACCAGCCTCACAAGAGCTGACTCAAACGGACACCTGAGCGGTAACACAAGCTGCAGCCGGAACTCCTCTGGCAGTTCAAAACTGAGCGAAAAGCTCCAACCCACGAACGTGGCTCAAGGACACTAATAATCTAGTAGTAGACACTACGACATGTTAAATCTTGGTTAATGTTAATGTTTATTATGTTAGTTTAAAACCGTTACGATTATATGACATACTATGGAGCCACAGGGCCCCACACCTGTTTAAACTGCAGCCTAGGCCCGGACAGCCCCACTCAAAAACCTGTAATAGCGACACGCAAGCGCAGGGGACAACACGTACGCCCCCTAATCACAAATTTACTTAGAGGCTGCATATGCGCTCCTCAGACAACCAAAAAAAAGATTATACCGGGGAAAACAACTGGCCACATGAAACGACTAAAGGACACTTCGGTCTCTCTTATGTTTATCAGCTCAGCCCAGTATTTACATAAATTACCCTACTATTTACAATATGGCTACAGTCAGGAGCCAGAAATAAATCTCTCACTTTTTTTCCTTTGGTAAAGTGGAAGGAAGGAGAGAGATTAAGGGGAACGTACTGCAAAGGCCAAAAAACCTTGTGTGGCATTTTAACTAGAACGAACCGGTCTGATACTAGAATAGGCGCCCGGGGGGAATACAAGACCCCGCATTGGACTTTGCAATGAAAGACAGGAACGAAGGGGGCAGGCAAAGCTTAAAAAGCAATAAGGATAGGCCAAAGATGGGAATGAGCTAAAACTGGGGCTTGACGGGCGAAACTACGATAGAGGTTAAAGTGCAAGCCATCCAAAGGGCCTACTGGAAGGGGCAGGCCACAACCTAGCGTTTTCAGGCCCCAAAGCCCAGACAACAAAGGGCTGCGAACACACAAGGTGTAACCAGTGGCGTACACATGACCCATGGGGCCCCGGTGCGAAAATTGATCCGTGGGACCCCCCCCCCAGCCCCCACTCGGCGCGGGTCGGGGCCGCAACACATGGCGGCAGGCACCTGGTTGCAGGGGTTGCAGGGCTGCGACCTCTCGACCACGGTATGCACACACACTTAAAGGACCACTACAGACACCCAGATCACATCAGCTCAATGAAGTGGTCTGGGTGCCAGGTCCCTCTAGTTTTAACCCTGCAGCTGAAAACATAGCCGTTTCAGAGAAACGGCTATGTTTCACTGAGGGTCAATCCAGCCTCTGGTGGCTGTCTCATTGACAACCGCTAGAGGAACTTCCGCGATTCTCACTGTGAACATCACTGTGAGAAGACACTGAACGTCCATAGGAAAGCGTTGAGTAATGCTTTCCTATGGGCGGTTTAAATGCGCGTGCGCCTCTTGCCGCGCATGTGCATTCGGAGCTGAGAGGCGGAGGGATCCCCAGCGCCAAGGGAGTCCGGCGCTGGAGAAAGGCTATACACAAAATCTACCCCTTAGACTTCACACCTACATATATGAAATACCTAGGAGTAGCCATACCAGCGGACCTCTCTAGTAGTTATGCGCTAAATTACACACCCACGATCCAAAAAATCACACAGGACATAGAAAAATTGCAAAACATGCCGATATCCTGGATGGGAAGACTGGCATCAGTCAAGATGAATGTCTTACCCAGACTTCTATACTTATTCCAAACCTTACCGATCCCAGTCAGAAACGCAGACTTCAAACTACTGCAATCCACAATCGATAAATTAATCTGGGCCAACAGACAAGCCAGAATAAAAAGACATACCCTACATGTACCCCACAAAGCAGGAGGCCTAGGCCTACCACACCTCACCCATTATTACCAGGCAGCGCAACTAACGCAAGCACAAAACTGGCATGCCCCCTACGGAGCCAAAAGATGGGCAGACCTCGAGCATGATATATTTGGCAGAGACTTCCCCTCTTTGTATATATGGCTACCCAAATCAGCGAGACCCACCTACCCCGAACATCCCCCGCAATCATCAGCACAATCAATATATGGGACAAAATAACCCATAAAAGCGGACTAACGACACAACCCTCACCACCAGGCATGACACTGAAAGATTTCGTCCATTTTGAAGAAAACTACCTCACATGACTATACCACTTCTACAGTAACCAACAACCAATACCATTCACAGACCTCCTGCAAACCACGCCATATCGCACCTTTGACATGTTCCGCCATTTACAAATCAGAAGTTTCCTAGAAACACCAACAATTAAACAGGCCGGTACCAAGACACACCTTTCGAAAAACAATGTATACAAACGCCAACACAAAAAGGACAAATCTCGGAGCTATACTCCCATATAATACAAAACATCAAAGACGGAGCACTTACATACGTGTCGGCTTGGGAGAGAGACATAGGCCCGGCGGAAGACCCAACAGACTGGGCCAATATATGGGAAGCCACAGCAACCATATCCATATGTGTAAACCACAAGGAACAGACATACTAGACGCTCATGAGATGGTACGTCACCCCCTTAAAAATCAAACAGATGGGCAGGTCAGACAACGACATATGCTGGAAAGGCTGTGGGCAGAGAGGCACATATCTTCACATGTGGTGGGAATGAACCCACACAGCACAACTATGGAACCAAATAGTAACCATTGTATCACAGATCCTGCACACAGACATACCACGCGATCCATGGATATGGCTCCTATCCAAACTCATGGCCGATACACCAAGATCCCAAAACAAACTAATCGCCAAAATCGCACTCGCAACAAGGAGAGCAATCGCTCAAACATGGGGAAGCCCAGACCCACCTACAATGGACACAGTAAAGCGTAAAATTAAAGACGCAATCAAAATGGACGAAATGTCCGCGCTGGTCCTTGACACAACCAAAACATTTCAATAAAATTTGGGACTCATGGTTCTATGAATTCCCACTAACAACCTGAACCAGCAAAAAGCAACCACACAAGATAACATCCCACAAACACAATAGCTACAAACACCATACAATCATAACCCTCCCAATCCCCCACCCACCCCTTTCATACCCCACACACACACCCACAACTCAAACCAACACCACTCCCCACACAGAATAACACACAACTAACTCCCCACAAAAAGCCCACCCAAAAGCAATATGAACCACCAACCAAACAGAAATTGCCTCACCTACGGACATCTATAAACCCCTAGAATAACCTAAACTAGCTACCTCACATCACGTTACAAAAAGGAGACAAACCTAAGAGAAAACCGATACTAAGAGAAAGAAACACGAAGGGTACTTAGAGAACACATAAACACCCACCAACATTAAACAGAGCAATAATATCCCCAACCAGCCTAACGTGAAAAAACCGACTACAACAACCAAAATGCCCAAAACAAGCATATCACACCACAACACACAAAAAGACGGAACAACCCCAAAACTACACCCACACTCACACCAAGGCCAAATCACAGACAACAACACGCACAGAACAGAAAAACGGTCGACATAGAAACACACATCACAAGACGATAAACCAAGGCAACACAGACAAATGCCCATCCCCCACCTAACCCTACCACCCCGAAGAGGAGAAGCCCGAACTAAACCAGAACAATCCGACAACATGAGACCACAAACAAAAGGGGTACAATAAAAATACCAGGAGAAAGGAGTGAGAAGACAACACAAAACCACAACCAAAAAAATGTGCTAGAATAGGGCAACCTACCCCCCACCATTCATATTTCTTTACCCTACACAAACCCCTAGACCACAGTACAATAAATCTGAACAGAATATCGAAATATATTAACACGCTGAAGACAAACAAAAACTATAGCTATAAGACGATTGTACTTATGAAGAGCAACAAAACGCAGAAACATCTATATGTATATGCTATGAAAATTTAATGACAAATTCTTACCCCCTGTTTCTTTTCTGTACCCCCCTAAAAAAAAAAAAAAAAAACTTTGAATATAAAGAATTTATAAAAAACAAAACAAAAAAACAAGCAGGACAGACTTGTACATTTAAACACTCCCACATACTGCACACAAACCCTATATAATTACAGTACACAATGGGTTAACTTAATTATCACAGGCAGGAAAATACACAGTTTTACACAATATTAATAACTTCCAAACTATATATCCAATTCACATAAAACATACATATTCTGAACCAGCATAAACAGTGTACAAACATATGTGAAAATCATCCAAACTGGTCCAGTGGTTCAAAAGTATATTTCACACAAAAAAATGACCAAGTCCCATTCGAATGCACGTTCGTGCAAATAGCCCATTTTAACGTAGCGTTCGAATCGTCAAACACACTTCAATTTCCGTTGAAATGTCAAAGTGGAAAAGAAGGTAAGGTTCAGTGGTGTTCATGCCGTCGTGTAGCTGTTTTCAGTTCCATGAGTTCGACGCCACTGACAGCGTTCGATTAACAAAGATGGCCACCGTCACGTGTTCGACTATACAAACGGCAGCCACCCAGCGGTCGGCAATTAAACTGTGGTTAACCACCAGCCTGGGAGGTAAATTGGCTGCACACGTCCCCTTGTGTGTGGTCTGCCTGTTCGGTAAGCCCCATTTACCAAACCATATGGGAAAAAGATACAAGCAAAGTATTTTCACAGTCTGGGGACACCATTTATAAGGGACATTGTTCCCAAAAGTCTTCATATGCCCATATAATGTTTTTAAAGGGCCATATACCCTTGGGCCATAATCCTGAGGCAAAAGGTGAGCAACCAGGCCCCTCCAGAACCCAGTGGCGAGGTTATTTTCGCCACAGAATGTCCTACTCATTTAGCATTAGTCTGGCTCTATAAAATGGAATGTCCCACTCATTTATTGTTGGCACCTTTCTATGGAGTGGAATGTCCTACTCATGTAGCATAAGTTGGACTCTATACAATGGAATATCCTACTCATTTAGAGTTAGCTTGGCTCTATATAATGGAATGTCCAACTCATTTAGAGTTAGCCAGGCTCTATAGAATGGAATGTTCTGCTCATTTAAAGTTAGTCTTGCTCTATATAATGGAATGTCC